GCAACTGAGGACGACCAGGGTCAGCTTCCATCCATAGACGAAGGCGGAAACTATGCCGATCACAAATGTCATGATCAGGAAGACCACGATCACCACCTTCTCGCCAATGCCCTCCTTCAGTTTGTCTAGATCTCTGGAAGCGGGAAAATAATCAAGAAATTTTTTTGTTAATTGGATAAAGCAAAGAAATAAAATTTCTAACTTCCATTGAAGAACTTTTTCATTTGTTTTATTATCACAAACCATTGGAAATGCATTAATTATTAAGAATAAAAAAAAATTTTTCAATTAGAAACCAAATTGCTAGAGAAATTGTGATAAATAAAAACTAAATACTTTCCCAAGAAGCCTATTTAATATTATGTTTGCTTAAATCCACATCCCCATCATAACATACTATTTAACGAGCTCTCTTTTGTAATGCAAGCTTAAAACTTAATTATAAAGTTCACATGAAAATCGATAAGCTTTTTAATATCAGGCACCTTAAATGGCATGGAATAATTAATTATTTCAAAATTGCGCAAGAGATTTGCCTAAATTTGCTGGGAACTGCAATTGTTTAAGTAAAAACTAGAACTGTTATTATATGCCATATTGATTAAAATAAATCAAAATGCTAATATGATTGGGTCGTTTTCTAATTTTGCTTATAAATATTCAAGTAATATGACTTCTGATTATATAAATACAATTAAGATTATTTGGTTATGAGAAACTCACTCTGTCATTTTGCTGGCGAAATTGGATCCCGAACTGGTGTCGTACCAGGCGATATCCTGGCGGAGCATGGCCTCCAGAAAGAGTTTTCGGATGCGGTCGATCTGGTTGAGGGCTATCCTGTTGGCCAGGTCGATGGCAAGGGTGATGAGCAGAAACATGGCCACTGATCCCACAAGACTGCCAATTCCGAAGGCTGTGGCATCATCGATGATGGCCTGTCTGTTCTCCTCCTTGCTGGCATTTGTTCTGCAGGCGCATTGATATTATAAACCTATCCTGGATTATGGTTTTCTAAACTACTCACAATTGCTTGCCGCCACCAAACATGGTGAGGGCAAAGGAGGGCGAGGATGTGCCCACTCCAACTGTACGATCCACGAGCAGGGATGTGAACTCTCCATAGATGATCATGAAGTAGGGAATAAATATGGAGGCGCCTGTGCCCACCAGTAGACTGAATACGAACAGGCATCGCTCACATGTTGTTGAGTATCTGAACTATATAGTCGAAATAGGAAGGATATAGAACATATACAGTAATGGGTATAGTTACCACTCACCAGATCAAAGTAACTGTACTTCCGAGTTGTACTCTCTTCAAGAACTGATCCTTCCTTTGCCTGAAAATCAGACGCCTGAGGCAACTGTGAATCCTCCTTTTTCGTCATTGTGTTATCTGTTAAATTACTTTAGCAATTAAGCCTAAAAACAAAGTAAGCAATCAGTAAAAAACACTTTATCTTTGGTTTGAAATGGGGTCTATAATTTAAAGACAGCCAATAAACAAATTTAACCATAAACACACCCAGTTGTTTGTAGGTCTTTTATTTACCAAATCAGCTATAACAGTTTGACTACTATCTTAAATTCTAGTTCACACAACAAAGTTCAGTGCACCAATAGCAGATTGCTTTTAATCCTTTGCGTTTTTGCCACTCTAATGATTTAATATTGAATTCCCTTTTATAATTCCAGAAGAATCTATATAAATTTCACAATTTTTTGCACTTAATTAAATGTTAATAAATGTATCTAAGCATCTTTTGAATAAGTTATTAATTAACCATTAAAAGTGAACATGTAGATATGGCACCATTTATCACGCTTAAGTGTGTGATAATTAATGTATCTTTCCGTATTACATAAAATATTGTAGAACTTATTAGACGCGGTGCAAAGGGCTGATTATACGGCAAAAACAATTTTCCCAAGTCAATTTAAGGAAATTAGTTCGATTGCACGAATGAAAAAGTGTCCATAAATTAATAAATTAACCGCAATTGGAAAGCGAGATAGTTTTTTTTTTTATTTATTGCAGTTGTCAATTGCGAACGGCTTGCACCCAAGATGCAAGGAAGTGGGAATTGCCCACTCCTCAGCTGCACTTAGATATTCTGCGATTTAATCAGATTCACATGTTACTGGAGCACACTCTTCAAATATAATCTAATACTTGTATGTTGATAGTAATTAAATAAATATGTGGCACTTACTCAGCACGTGCCGATTGTCCGACTAACTTAACTCGCGATCGGTTAATGAATCTATATATTTTTCTCCTGGCCTTTCAGCACTGCGAAGTGCAAGAGAAGACGTCTGAAGCCGACAAGTGCGCGATCTGAACTGGACAACCATCCACTTCACACTTGCGAAGACAGCTCGGTCTCAGAATCTCGGGTCTCGGCCGCGGATCGACTTTCGGCCCGGCCGAATCCGAATCGGGGCCGCAATAAAACCCGATCGTATACCTAATCGGGACTCCCCCTGGCAACCGCCTGCCTGTTGTCTCTACCTGTTTTTGGCCCTATCCTGTAACCCAAACAGAGTATTATGGCTATAATAATGTGCCATGCAGATTAGATAGGTACCATCGATTCGGCGTTACGCTCTGCTATTATCAGTCGCATAACCGGTATTTGTTTGCTCTTGGCCGTATCTATTGGTGCAGAGGAGTCGGGCTTAAGCCAAAAGATTGAGCGCAATCCATTTGCGTGCATGGTTTTCCCCTTCGAGAAAGGTTTTAAGCAGAAATCGTAAGATCGGGGGACTAACCGAGAAGAAATCTGTATCTGTATCGCGTGCGACAGCCATGATTCATCCCGCCGCTCAGGTGTGCTGTGAAATACCTGGATGGTTAAGCGTGGTAGCGGCATTCTCACGTTTTCCAGCGACTTCCCCAATCCAAATATAATCAATCGGCTTGTTTATGCGTATGATTTCACAATTTTTGTAAGGCGAATGAGTTAGCAAGTCTGCAAAATTTTCCTAAACGTATCTCAATCTAATCGGCACTTGTAAGCACTCTTATGACCCATTATCAAAATGAAATAAAATATATGTGCTTCTATCAAACAACAAACACATCCCACTGAATATGTTTTTCTCGAAAGCCAGATAACTCGAATTGTGGCCAATTTAGACAAGGTTTGTCGAACAGATAATTGCGGCAAGGTCTGGTTATTTTGACCATTTGCAATATGCTGTTGAAATAATAATGAGAACTCTTGAAATCGACACCATAAAAATGTTTCCTTGGTTACGGACCTAGTCCAATCCGGCTATGTTATCTCTAACAAACCAAATTATTACTCTATAAACTCGTGCATATTTATAGACGTGGGAATCATTTGGACAAAATCAAATATCGTTTAAAGGCGAAAGTGTTTCTTTATTTGCGTTTTTAATATTTGGTTAATCAGTACGTCTGTATTTGACTTTTGGCCTTATTCTTTTCAAACCATTAATATTTAATGGGATCCAATACTTCATATCAGCAATGCATTTCTGTCTGGCAAGATGCATCTTTTTTTTAATGGGTTCAAACTGATAAGGTTTTTAAAAAGTGAACATTTTAAATAACAACATTTTTTTTAGTTTGAAATATACCAATTTTCTTACCGCTACAATCTAAATAACTTAAGAAATATACACAGAATAGAGTGAAGAATTAGATTAATTTAAAAACGCTTAAAATAAATTTGCAGATAAAAATCATCTTTAATAGCCTGATTGGTTTGTCTGTAACTTGCCCTTTGAAAAATAGCCATGAAAGTAACAAGTGAATTTGATTGTTTTCAAAAGATATTGGGGCACGGATTGTTAAATATTAAATTTACTGTAAAAAACGATAAATGTTTTTAACGTTTTCTGAACTTAAAATCAATCTTAGGATCCATTCTCTTTCGCCAGTGTATTTTATGAAAACAAATCATGACGCAGTCGCTCATATTTACTCTTACCTGCTCTTTCTTTCTCGCCCGTCTCTTTCATCTTGTGTTGACGTTGAAAAAAACCAGAATCGTTTAAAGAAATCTTGTGTTGACCAATAACGGGTAGTTGTGGGAAATGCCGGTTTTATCTAACGATAAACCACATTTGGGTTCAAGGAAGTTTCAAACATATGGAGTTCTTTGGTGGAAATACAGCGTTTTTAGTTCCGCAAATTAAACCCACTTTTATGTCCTACGTGATACAGTTTTATTTTGACCTTAAGCTCTTGTGGCCAGAAATCAGTTAGTCAACATCTACTAATTGCAATTTCTCGGTTAAAGCGGAAGAAATCTGGTCTTTATGGTTTAGCACATCATTTTTTGTTTTCTACAACAAAATGGTTTTATTATATATCTTTAAAGAGTGCTTACAGCTTAACTACTTGTTGTATATTTAAAAAAATAAAAAAGGTTTTAAAAGTAAATTGAAACTACTACTACTAAAACTACCCAATCAAAACCATCTTAAGCATAGGGTTGCCAATCTTCAAGTTTAGCTACTTTTGTATATTTACAAAAATAAAATAGTTTTAAAAGTAAACTGAAACTACTACTACTAAAAATACCCAATAAAAAACCAACTTAAGTATAGGGTTGCCAATATTGACATTCAATTTGTTCATTTTCAGTTATTGATTTTGTTTAATGTTTATCTACATCTTGTAATGTCCATATTATAGGGACCTTAAGCAACCTTGAAATATTACACTATCGTCAAGGTAAGATAATCCCAAACAAAATAAATAATATAATCTACAGCTAAATGCAAGTCATTTATTAAGTAACCCACTTGAAAAAGGGCGTACAGTAGAAACATTATTATTGCAACTTTAAAAGTGAATAAATATAATTAATTAATTAACTCAATAATAATAAATATGTTTATTTAAAAAATAAGTGTATACACTTACATTATCGTCAAGATAAGATAATCCCAAGCCAAGCCCAAAATAAATAATAAAATCTAAATGCAAGTCATTTATTAAGTAATCCACTTGAAAAAGGGCGTACAGTGAAAACATGTTTATTGCAACTTTAAAAGTGAATAAATATAATTAGTGCATAATAAACTGAATAATAATAAATATGTTTATTTAATAAATAATTATATACATTTATAATCATGTTTTTTGGTAGAGGTTTAGACTTTGGTTTTTACAGAGGTAGCTGCGCTTGGAAAGTTTTGAAAATATATTACAAATAGAAGGAAAGTTTTAATAGATGAATAGCATCTAAATTTGATATGTATAATGTACATATAAATAATTATAATATAAATTGCATTATAATGTAAAAGAAAGAAGGTACATTTAGCTGCTTTCAAAAAGTGTAAATATTAAAATAACAGTGTATAAAGTTACATTTAGCTGCTTTCAAAAAGTGTAAAAGTGTAAATATTAAAATAACAGTGTATAAAGTTACATTTAGCTGCTTTCAAAAAGTGTAAAAGTGGAAATATTAAAATAATAGTGTAAAACTTTGTTTCCATTTAGCTGCTTTTGAATTTCTCGAAATGAATGGGATTATTAGGGTTCACTTTAGTAAACCAGGCGAATGGCCTGCTGTCCGTGGAAAATGTCGCTCCTAACCAGAACATCGTAGCTGCTCAGCCGGATCTCCTGACCTCCGAATGGAATCTGCAGGCAGCGGTTATAGGACTCAATCACGCCGGGAATCAAGCTTCCGAGGTAGCGACCCCTTCCAATGTAAAGTGGTTCTCCGGCGGGATTCCTTCCAGCAACTACAGCTCCGGGTGGAACGTTGCCGCCGTAGGAGGGCACCCAGTGGTACTTATCCTTGCCCACCAACATTTGATACGAGGGCTCCACAATCTCCCGCCCTCCGTGGGCAATATAGGCACATCCCTGGCTGGGAATCGCCTTTCCCGGAACGTGGACACCCCGATAATAGGCTCTGCACACCAACAGTTGCGACATATTGCTGTCATAGCCTCCAATCACAGCATCGTCGGAGTAGTAGAAGCCCGGTTCAGCGGTTATCCACACATCGTAGTTGTTGCCATAGCTGTAGGCATCGTAGGCCGAAGGTCCTGCACATTCAGCCGGAGTGTAGGAGGAGTAGCCGGCTTCGTAGGGATTGTAGGTGGCAGCGGGAGTAAATGATGGTCCCGCGGGAATGGACACGGCTGAGACCTCAGCGGCAACGAATGAAGGTACTGGAGCCACGGAAACCTCTGCGGGGGTGAAAGATGGTGGAGGTGGGGGCATCACCAGGACACCTCCGGCAGGCGGTGGTGTTGGTTGGGGGGGTGGCATTACCAGGACACCACCAGCAGGCGGTGGTGGTGGTGTGGGGCGTGGCATAACCATCACACCTCCAACCGGAGGCAGTGGATCCGGCGTGGGTGTATAGGCTGGAGGCCTGTCAGAGATGGGAAAAGGCATGGCCGCCAAATTCGGATAGGGATACGGTTTGGCGGACAGCGGAGGAGCCATTGCTGGTGGAGAAGGTGGTGGCGGCGGAGTGAGCGGGCACTTTTCCGGCTCTTCTAGAGGAGGAGGAGGGGGCAGCTGCCAACCCGGCACCACTCTTCGCTCCTCCACCAGAATTTCATAGGAATCTAGGCGACGTTCGGCCCCGCGGAAAGCGATGAACAGAGCCCGATGCACGGAGGAGATCTTGCCGATGATCAGGTGACCCTCGTAATGGCCACGACCAATGTACACCGGCTGGTCCAGCGAAGTGCGGCCACAGAGGATTGCGTTCTCGGGAATCACATGATCGTAGCACTTGATCCACACCAGATTCTGACCGCACAGCACCTCGAAGATGTCCTTGGGCAGGGCCTCTCCTCGCTGCGAAATGAATCCCAGCTGCTTGCTGGGCACCACCTTGCACACCAGCATGTCGCCCTCGTGCTCCGCCCTGCCCACATAAATCATGGCGCCGTCCTCATCGTTTCCGCCCACCACTGCCTCCTCGGGAAGGGAGGAGTAGGCCGAGGATTGCACCCACTTGTAGGCTGGAATAGGGGGAAGAACTTGTTAGTACTGGTAAACAAAAACTTAACAAATAAAGTTAAGATAATATTAAATTTAGACTTCATATTCTTTCATAATTAATTCCAATTAAGCGTTTTTATACACAAAATAAAAAATATTTTTTGGGTCAAAATCCGAAAACATCAACTCATGTTTGTCTTTTTGATCAAAACCTTGGGAAATAATAGTAAAATATTATAAATGTCTTATACCGTTGAATTCGTTATAAAATTTCCAATCAATTGGCATTCCCAGCTGGAAAAATTTAATTTCTTCCAATTTTTTGCAAAAAATCGTAAAGTAACCCCTTACAAAAAATGCAAAAAAATTAACTTTTCCAAAATAACCTGAAATTAATAGTTTAGAACCTCAGCTGCACGAAAAAATCTTTATTTTAGCTTTGCGTCTTATTTTTAGAAAGTTAGAACAAAGAACAAAGAAAATAACTCAAGTTTCGGTTTTTTGATAAAAACAATTGGAAATAATGATCAAATGTTGGAGTGTTATACATCGTTGAAATATTTATAAAATTTCTAACTGATAGGCACTCACAGCTTAACAATTGTTGGCCCCTTTGTAATGTAACCTCTTAGAAAAATGAGAAAATCGATTACAAAATCAATTTTTTCAAATCAAATTTTTATTGAGTTAGCTTTGCACTTCGTTTTTTGTTACCTATCTTTAAATATAATAAGGAAGCGAACTTGATGGTATAACTCATATCTCAGTTCATAAATTGAGCTTAGTTCGTTTAATGCAATCACCAATCAGGTAATTGTTTACATTAAACAACAATTGTATATTGCCCCCAATATAATTGGCAAGCAAGAACTTGATGATAGCTTAGCTGTAAGCAGGTAAGATTTGATATTTTGTATAGACAGATTTCTTGGGTATTAACAGTCGGTTTATTGGGTGCGATTACAGTTTGATCTGGGCTAAATGCATATATGGTAATTTATGGGGTTCCGGCAACTTATTGCCTGCAAAGGACCTCGTACGAGGAGAGGCGGATCTCCCGACCTCCATATGGGATGTAGAGGCATCGCTGGCTGGCCGAGATCAGACCAGGAGTCAGACTTCCCTCGTAGTGGCCACGACCGTAGTACAGGGGCTCGCCGTTCCGAGCACGGCCCGTGGAAACGGCATTGGGTGGAATGTGGTGTCCGGCATGGGCCCAAACGTATCCGCAGCCGGTGAGCACCTCGTAGCTCTGCTTGGGGAACTCGTATCCTCCAAAACAGACGTAGGCGGTTCCCTTACTGGGCACCACTTTGGCGGGCAACATCTCGCCCTCATGCATCGCCCTTCCGGCGTAGATGGGCGTCCGATCGGAGTCGTGTCCGGCTATCACTGCACCCGGAGGCGTGTAACTGGGCGAGGCACCCACCCAGTTGTCATATTGCTGCTTGATGAGCACCTCGTACGTGTTGATCCTGACCTCCTGGCCTCCAAATGGAATGTACAGGCAGCCGTGCGAGGGATGAACTTTTCCCACAGTCAAGCTTCCGGCATGATGTCCACGTCCCACGTAGAGGGGTTCTCCTGTGCGGGTCGTTCCACTCCTAACCGCATTCGGTGGCACTCCGCCACTGGCACTGGGCACCCAGGCGAAGCCCTGACCCACCAGCACCTCGTAGTGGCTCTTCTGGTGCTCCGATCCTCCGTAGGCCACATATGCGCAGCCCTTGCTCGGAATGACCTTGGCGGGGAGGTTTTCACCCTCGTGAAAGGATCGACCCACGTAGATGGGCGTGCGGTCCGAGTCGTGGCCACCGATCACCGCGTAAGGGGGCAGGGGGCTGTGGGGAGACGAGTGCACCCAGGTGTTTTCTGCAAGGAGAGAGGCGGTAAGGCGATAAGCTTCACACGACGCGATAAGATAACCTGTCTTTACACAGAGAAAAAACTGCCAGTATTTCATTCAAAATGTTTTAACGGTTTTTTATAATTGTTTAAAAAGTGAAAAGTGAAAACCAAAGATTATTGCACATCCTTAAAGTTAAATGTATATATATATTTATTTAATATGCAAATTATCTTGCGGCTAAATTGCAATTTTGTCAGACTTTGTCAATGAAAGACAAATTCAACTTTTGTTGATAAAACTTTTATGACTGAGATTATATTAACAGATAAAATTGAAATGATTCATACTCTTAAAGCTTTTTCTCTGTGTAGACATTTGGTTTGTGGGACTGGGTGGTCTAGGGCGGATATCAAGTGGGATTTGGGGGTTCACAGAGGCGTTGGGATTTCACCCTGGGCTCACTGCACTCGTCCTACCAACGGTCACAACTGCTCCTGGATGCACGGTGCCTGGAAGAGTGCAAAGAAAGGCGGAGAACCGTAGAAGTCACTCAATGCTCTTTGCAGGGTTTTTTTTGGTGGTGATTGTACACAGCGAAAAAATAACAAAGCCACCACAATTGGTCAGCATTTGGGTATTTTTTCATCCATACGTTTGGTTTGTCTACTACGCATCAATTTGTAATTATCTGAATAATGTTCTTATCACAAATTGCTAATGAAGTAATAGTAATAGTTTTGCGACTACATTAAACACCATTGTTTCAAAATCTGGCAGTGTGGATTAATTTTTCACATATTGATTGATAAAACTTTAACTCAGATTAACACTATTTTTGCATTTTGAAATATTCGTTTTTGCAACGTTCGACGCTTACTCATTAGACTTACCCATTTTGTGTAGCTTGTTAATGAGGGGTTATTCCTCCTTGAATATTGTGAAATCTTTATAATATATATATACTCTTTTGTATCCCGTGGGTGTTTCCACAAAAGGTCTGAACAGATTGAGGTTTGCCTTTTCACTGAAACGTTGCTCAACAACAGGCGTTTAAAAACCGAAGCAGACCCTTTTGTCACCGCCTCTTATCGGCGAGCTTTTATTTATCAATGTGTATGGGTATGACAAAACATATTCCAGTGATATTGGTGCCTTAATATCTCTGTTTTTCTGCTTCCAGTCTAGAAAGCTCAACTTCCAGAAAAAGGTTTCCTTTATCGATCGAGAATGAGTCATTGTCCCGAAGAGGTACTTTTTGGGGTATGGAAGGTGAAACATGTGTTTATTGTTTCAAGTGATATTGTTGTTGGCACTCAACAGGTGGAACCCCAATTTAATGAACCTATAAAAATGTGACGCCTGCTGATGGTGAAAAATCCCCCGCTGAAGTGCCGATAAGACCCACCCAAAAATATCAACTAGAAAAAGGATCATCGAGATGTTTTAGGATAGTTTATTCTACTTTATCACAGTAGAACATATATGTAATTTAAATAAATGGATTTAGATAAGCTCTATATACCACACACTGAAATCTGAAATAGATTTAGAGGGACTCATGCTTTATTTATAAGATATAAATAAACAAAAAGATATCTCTAAAAACAAAAATCTAAGTTTATTTGTCTGAGAAACTCGAGGTTATGGATCATAATGCAACGATTTTAATAAAAATATGAAATAAATTTTAACATTAAAGGACTTCTTATAATAATTCTTATATTGACTAGAGATTGAGCACTTGAGATAACCAAGCATCTGTTGATGTAAGATTACCTTTATATTAATGAATAAAAAAAAAATTGGTTTCAAACAAACAAAAATGGATAATTTCTTTTCTCAATTAAGATTATTTTGTTTATAAGGTCAAAGACCTTTTTATTTTGATAAAACTGATTCAGCATATTGAATACAATGCATTGGTCCTTCTTTTGTTGAAGATATCAATTAAACTTTAAAAATACATCTGATTCATAGTGGCGCTTAAGATTGTAATATCAGCACAGTTCTTTGGCAATTGACTCATTTCCTATAAAAAAGGGTTTTTTTTCTTTAAAACAGATGCACAAAATAATCACAAGTCAGTTGAGTCTCCTTTAATTTGTCAGTTTCATAACCCATATCGACTCATAATCCAAACATGTACAGTTTTCAGTGCATGCTGACATGCTGGGACTTATTTTTGTTCTAGAAATAAATTCCTCAACCTTAAAGTTGATCCATGGACAGCAACATACGTGTACATATATTTTTTTTACGAACTTATTGATCAAGTTTATTTTTGACTGCCGGTGATAAGATTCGTAGGCAACTGCTTATAGATAAAGCCGGTAATATGAACACAAAAGCACACATGTATAAGATCGATTGAGTAATTGTCATTTCCCTTTCTGTTCGGCATGAAATTTAAATTGTTTTGGCCAGGTAAATCAAACAACAGACAATCTGACACACCTGTCAGTTGGCCGCAATGACGAACGCAACTGTGAAATATAAGGATCCCTTTTGTTAAAAACATATATGTGCATATAGCAAATTTAGTCTGAGCGAGTGTGACTAAGATATCTTATCAAATTCGGTTAACATTGTCGACTGATAAGGCGGCCCAACAGCTTTTAAAGCGCAGCCCTTCTCCAGTTGGAGACCAGTCGTTAAAGTCAGCCCGAACCCATCGGAGCCAGCGAGTATATATAACTACGATCCACCCCTAAATCAACACAAACAGCCAAAAACACAACAGCAACATGGGAGGTGAGAATAGTTGTGATAAGTTATTTGTGACTAAAATTATTCCTGCGAAGAACCCAGTGACATAATTAGCCATGACAGGTGGCCAAGTGTCATCGATGGCTTGCTCACCTGACAGCCGAAATCCCCTGGAGCTTTGGAAGCTTGCCGACGATCCAACGATTTCACTAGCTAAATAAATATAGATAAGAAAATAGACAGAGTGGTTCAAGTTAATGGGTACAGTTGGTCGCCAACCATTTGTAACTTATCGCCACTGACCTTGCTCCAAATATTCCATTCCCTTGCAGACTACACCTGGATTAGCACCAACGTTTACGATGCCCTGCCAGCGGGAGCCATCCTGGCTGGTCATGATTCCGACCAGGACCCCATCTATGTGGGCCGTGCCTACCACAACGGGGAGATGCTACCGGCGAAGGTTGTGCCCGGCAAGCAGCAGGCCTATGTGCCCTTTGACGGCCAGGAGATCAGCAAGCACGACTTCGAGGTCCTCGTCGGCGAACACTTCTCCTGGATCCCCTCCAGCGGCGGATCCGTCCCGCCCTTCGCCATTCGCGTCGGCCAGACCGGCGACGGTGAGCCCCTGTACGTGGGTCGTGGCTACTTCCAGGGCAGCCTCACCCCCGGCAAGATCCATCCCTCTCACCAGTGCCTGTACATCCCCTACGGAGGAGGCGAGGTAGGTCTATTTCTTTAAGTTTTTCTGAACAATTAATTTAATTTTTAAAGTCAAAAACATATTGATATTTATCGCTTTCTAGTCCCTACGTTTCATAGCCATTTAATTGGCTGATTAACGTATAAATAAAAAAAAAAAAAAATAAAAATTTAAGTGTCTTCACTTAAATTTTAACCTTCAGTTAAATTTGTTTTAGGCAATCATTAATCCTAGCTTTGACTTACACCATTGAGTTACTTCTACACCTTCTTTTCATAAGATTTTAATATACTTTTCCAAAAATGTTCATTTTTTTATTTTTGTTCTATTGATTTTGTTCAGTTTAACTATAAATCTCAAAAAGTGTAACATAAGTTAAACAATAATTACTTTCAAATTGACTGATTTGTATAAAAATTACTTTAACTTTTCAAATACCAAACAAATAACGAATTTCCCTTTCGATTTCAGCACCGCCTGGAGGCCTATGAAGTACTGGTCCAGCCGGAGACCTGGGTCTCCTCCCACGGACGTAACATTGTGCCCGGAACAGTGCTTGGCGGACACGACTGCAATGGCGATCAGATCTATGTGGGTCGCGCCTATCACGAGGGCGATTTGCTGCCAGCCAAGGTAAAGAGACTTAAAGGCTTATAACTTTCCAGATTAAATTAAATTAATTTTCCCCTTTATTCCACAGGTGATACCCAACAAGGGCTGCGCCTATGTCCCCTACGGAGGCGGTGAGGTGGTCAAGCACGACTTCGAGCTGCTGGCCGGATACGGATACGGATGGGTGCACGACAGCCATGGCAATGTGCCCGGAAACGCCGTGCTCTGCGGAAGAACTGCCGACGGAGAGCCCCTCTTCATCGGTCGTGCCCACCACCATGGCAGTTTGACCCCCGGAAAGATCCACCAGTCGCACCAGTGCCTCTACATCCCCTTCGGCGGCGAGGAGGTCCGTATCGACCACTACGAAGTCCTGGTCAAGGGCTAAACTGCTCCCCCGTTTTGACTGACTGCCCTCTCTAATTTATAATTCATCTTGTTTCATTAAAAATGTCTTTCCACTAAACCACTTTGTCGGCGTCTTTCAATTGACTTGTGTTTAGCTTAGCAAATACAATTACTTTATATACTTTGTTTCGAATTCATTGGGAATTTTTGTATTTACTTTAAAGAGGTTGCTATTAACAGATATGAGCTTAAAGATTGACTAAAGCGATATTCCTCTTCAATGCCCATAAATTCCTGGAATTTTCCCTTAGTGCTTACCAGTGAACAAAATGGGTTGCTATGGGTTGACTAATACTGTATTAATAATTTTGTCTTGGAGAGAGTACAATGAAATTTTAATTTTTTTAAATATAAGTTTGTTTTAAATTCTTAATCAGGACTAAAAGCCGAGTCAAATTAGACTCTTTATTGGCTGCAACTTTTTAAAAATTGTTATTAAATTACAGCTAATTACTGTGTCCAGCTTGATTAAACTGGATTTGAACTTATTAGTGCCAATCCATTCTCATTAGTGTTTGTATTTGAACTTATTAGTGCCAATCCATTCTCATTAGTGTTTGTATCCTTTCATGTCAATCTCTTGAAAAGTTTTCGGCTGAATCAGACGAGACTTTGAATAGCTGGGCATCCCGCAGTGATTGCTCCATTCCCCAGTTGGTGCCCCATTGAATCTTGACCAACCAACCAAAAAGTCCTTGCCGAATTTTTCGATTCCGTAGTCGACAACAAGAGCTCCATGGTTTAAATTATTTGCGATGGATTCGGGCTCTTGATAAATTCTAGAGGAGGACGACTTAATCGTTTTGTAAGCGTCAAGAATACGGGTCCAAAAAATGGCATAGGCCATTTAGGCATTGTGAAATTGCACTCGTTTTTGACTGCCTTGTAGGGATAAGACTGTTTCGTAGCTATGCCATCACTGTCCTTTATCTGGGCGAAACCAAATACGAAATGACCGATGAGCAGTCCGAGTTTTTATACCCTTGCAGAGGGTATTATAATTTCAGTCAAAAGTTTGCAACGCAGTGAAGGAGACATTTCCGACCCTATAAAGTATATATATTCTTGATCAGCATCACCAGGAGAGTCGATGAAGCCATGTCCGTCTGTCCGTCCGTCTGTCCGTCCGTCTGTCCGTCTGTCCGTCCGTCCGTTTCTACGCAAACTAGTCCCTCAGTTTTAAAGCTATCTGCTTGAAACTTTCCCAAAAGTTGTCTTTCTATTGCAGGTAGTATATAAGTCGGAACGAGCCGGATCGGGCCACTATATCATATAGCTGCCATATAACTGAACGATCGGAAATGCCATAACTTTGGTGTTTTTCAAGTTAGCAAGTTAGGAAGTTCTATGGGTTTTATTTTTGGCTAATCAGTCTGACTTACCAAATTTCATAAGGATCGGACGACTATATCCTATAGCTGCCATATAACTGATTGATCGGAAATGCCATAACTTTGGTGTTTGTAAAGTTAGGAAGTTGGGATTATCTATGGGTTTTATTTTTGGCCAATCAATCCGACCTGCCAAATTTCATAAGGATCGGCCGACTATATCCTATAGCTGCCATATAACTGATTGATCGGAAATGCCATAACTTTGGTGTTTGTTAAATAAGGAAGTTGGGATTTTCTATGGGTTTCATTTTTGCCCAATCAATCCGACATATCAAATTTCATAAGGATCGGCCGACTATATTCTATTGCTGCCATATAACTGAACGATTGGAAATGCCATAACTTTGGTGTTTTCAAAGTTAGGAAGTTGGGATTTTTTATCAGTATTAAGAATGCATCATATAAATAATTTTGGAGAATATAATTTACAGAATATTCTGCAAGGCTCCGCCCGAAGTTAGCTTTTCTTTCTTGTTAAATATAGAATACTTTAAGAAAACTAATTAAGTTTAAACTAAAAACCAATATTATCATTTGTGGTGATAAAACAAGGAATCCTTGCATTTTCTAATCCATTTGTCTAGTAATTGAAAAGGATTGTTTAACCCCAATTTTAAAGGTAAATTAATGCAGTCAAGAGGTGGTAGATATCCAGGTCGACCCTAATGAGAATCTGTAACACCCCGAGTTATGCTTCATTTTGCGTAGCTTTTTAGAGCTTTCTGATTGTTCTCTACACGAGGTGTAGAGTTAATGTAGAGATATACCCCGAATGTCGAATATCTTCTAGTGTTTTTCGAGACCCGCACACTCACTTTCTCCCGCTCTTGCACATGCTTTCCTTCTCACTCGCGCTCGCGCCCTCTGCTCGATTGCCATTGGTCGTTTCATTCGCTCGTCGGCAGCGTTATTTTCTAATTGGCCGACTGAAAATCAAGCCGCTCCCCGGCCTCGAACTCCATTGGACTTTTGTGGCAAGTATCTCGACCTGTGGATGTGGCCAACTGCGTGTCGCAAGTAGCCAAAACGAGGCGGTCTTTGTTGTAATACATTTATTACATTACGTTTCCCCAAAAACGTTGGAAGATCTATTGATATTTACCGACTATATTTGGGAGATTGAATATGTTTTGGAATTAATTTCTTCTCAACAAACTTGAAGGAACATTTATAAGCTATCTGGGCGCTCCAAACTGGTTTTCTTGGCCGCTCACTTGGGGCCTGAAAATGCCGTCGCTTAATCGCTTCCATTCAAACTGGCTCCAACGAAAGCTGAAATCGACCAGTTGGACTCAAGGTTCTACAAACTGTTTTGACTGAGTAAATTTGACTTTATAAACATGTAAGCTGGCTTTCAAATAATAATAATTAATAGAATACAAATTTTCGAAGCTCATGTAAATTGAACAGATATCTTATACCTCGAAACATATCTCCTCAAAATATCGCTCATTGAATTAAGACTTTAGCTTATAAGTGACTAAAATTACCCAATTAAAGCTTAGTGTTTATTTCATTTCACCAATTCGAGGTAATACAAATTGTTGAAATTTCAATAAATAATATAGTCAGCAAAACTCATAGTTGGAAACAAGTTGCTCTAAGTTGAACTTAAACTCAAAGATACTTCAAATTAATCTTAAATAATAAATAATACAAATAAATTATCTTAAAGAAAAAATCAAAGAAATCTCAGTATAAAACAAGAAATGAAAGCTATATATTCTCCAAAATTATTCATATGATGCATTCTTAATACTCATAAAAAATCCAAACTTCCTAACTTTAAAAACACCAAAGTTATGGCATTTCCGATCAATCAGTTATATGGCAGATATAGTCGGCCGATCCTTATGAAATTTGGTAGGTCGGGTTGATTGGCCAAATATAAAACCCATAGAAAATCTACACTTCCTAACTTTACAAACACGAAAGTTATGGCATTTCCGATCAATCAGTTATATGGCAGCTATAGGATATAGTCGGCCGATCCCGGCCGTTCCGACTTATATACTGCGTGCAAAGGAAAGAAGGGTGTGTGCAAAGTTTCAATTCGATAGCTTTAAAACTGAGAGACTAGTTTGCGTAGAAACAGACAGACGGACAGACAGACGGACAGACAGACGGACAGACGGACAGACGGACATGGCTATATCAACTCAGGAGGTGATCCTGATCAAGAATATATATACTTTATAGGGTCGGAAATGTCTCCTTCACTGCGTTGCACACTTTTGACCAAAATTATAATACCCTCTGCAAGGGTATAATTTGTACACATTATTATAATGAGGTAATGTTTATGGACCAGGAAACCGTTGCTTATAATGCAACATAATTATATGTTGAATAAGCCGTATAGCCAAACAACTTTGTGGATTAGATATAATAATTGAATTTAATATTTTTTCCTGACTATGGACTCTAACCCCTTGCCATTAAAAACGTTTCTATTTGAATATCAGACACCCCAGACCTTCGCGCCAGCTTTTTAACTCACTGTCAGATTCAGGCTTCGCAACGACAGAGTCATAATTTCCAAGCCATATATGGAGTATGGGATATGCCACGACCCATACCCATACCCACCCTCAGCGCATACCCCTCGGCCAATATAAATTCTTGTAATTTAATTTTGCTATTGCAAGAAGAGGCGGCACACACACTCGTAATCCGGGCATCCAGCGGCAACACGTGAAGTCTCGCATCCATTTGGCCGGAGAGATATTAAAAGGCAACTCTGATTCTGATGCTATCGGAGACCAGACCACATCCCATTGAGCGCAGCTTCCTTTGCTTTGGCTGCTTTGTGCCGCCAACCCTCGGAATAACTGTGAAAATGCTCGGAATTCCAGGGCCCAAGCAACAACAATAACAACGGGGACGGGACTATCAGTTTCTACAGACGAACGGAATGACAAAATTTCGCCTCTGGGCTGTCACAGTATCTGCTGAACCGCTCTATGTGTATCCGTATCTGTACCGGCGTATCTGTATCTTTTTCGCAGGCCAAGCCGGTTAGCTGGCAACGAATGAAGCCGCTCTGGAGATGGGGTCTACTGACATATAGGTTTTCATATGCCCACGAGTACATAGGGAAAATGTCCTATGTACAACAAAGGCGATACAATTAGTTGAAAAGTCCAAGTGCGATTCGATGTTGGTAGATGTATCTGTGTCTGTGTTGTGTGAAAGGGAGGGTTGCTTTGCCGACGTCGCTGCGAGGACGTCATAGTCCTCTGGGTTTTTCAAACGGGGTGCGTGGAGCGGGGTACGGGGGGTCCCATCCTGCTTCGTACGAACGACCACGCAAAACGAAAAACTGAAAAATGTACATAAAATGGAAATGAGAGGCCTTTGTTAAACGCTCGGCGATGGGCGTTTCGGTATATAAATCGACACCGAAACCAAAAACCTTTCTCGAATTTAAAACCCCGGCACTCGACGCCTACGTCGATGCCAGCAGCGACGCCAGCGCGTGCAGCGAAGCTGTACACACAACAAAATTTCGATGTGAACCTAGAGTCTAGAAAATTCTAAAGTCAAATAAGTTTAAGCCATAGATTTTTTTAATCAAGCAAATAAGATTATATTATCTCAGAAATTATGAATATTAATCCTATAAATTATTTTGATATCAGTTCCAATGTAATTGTATAAAGTATGA